AAAGGGCCCAGCTGGCCATAACATATTTTCCCAACCCCACTCATGTCTAGTGCTGCATCTCTACTGCTGACTCCCTCGCCCCAGCACATTCCATGCTTGGCAGAACAACACAAGACTGAATATCCTTAAGGTGTTTTGGATGACCTGGCACACTTGCCTTTGTGGTGCCAAGTGGCGAGTTTATTCCACACAGCCATCACACAAATGAGCATGGCTGTGGTCATAGTGTTGTGCTGTGATGCTTTAAGCCCCAGTAGGCTCAGATTTTGTGATTCTAGTTTTTGGCAGTGCCAGTCTCAGGAACAACAGTTCAGGAAATGCCAGCTACCAGGTGATGTTGACCACACATCTGATTTGTATGTGGAAAAGGTCCCCAAACTCCAACTAGATATTGTATAGCAATGTCATGTCCAGCAACCACAATGCTGCTCATCTGTCCTGCTGGTGCTGCTTATTTGGCTTTAATTCCCTTTAGCATGGAAGGGAGGAATTTGCTGCTCTGACTGACTCTGGCTGCTATATCTCTGTCATCACTGAGGAATGCCACCAGACGTTCTCCATCCTATGGAGACAGACCTTCCATAAGACACTCATCCTTGTTTCAGGTGCTACAGGACATGTGTTTGATATGCTCAGCACATTGCAGGACTCTCCCACACTAACATGACATCTGTGTAGTCAGATCTGCTGGCTGTCCTGCCCTTCTGGAGCTGGACTGCTTGATGGAACTGACACCATTCTCTTACTGACATGTTCATGGGATATCTCCTTCTCTACAGTGTCCCTGTGTTGCACAATGACAATTTATATGGTTGTACAACGATGCCACATTACTGTTTCCTTGCCTTCTTTTTAAGAGATTTGAAGCATTTGGTAGGACTACTTAAGCCCCATGAGGAGAGAATTGATGGCCTGGGAATTGTCCTTACCACTATTAGGGATGGCTTGGCTACTATCATCAGCCCTTCCCCTCACCTTGCTCCAGTTGTCAGTGGTCTATCATGGGACACCTTCACAGAATAGACGGTTGTGGGCACTGACACTTCCACACATCAACACAGTCAGCATATTGGACAGGCTTTTGTGAGACACCTCCAGCACCAACCACACCCTCAGTGAAACTTAATGCGATCTACCTGTTCCCAGGTGATGTTTCTAAACTGAACAAATTGCTGACTAAGTTTACTGATGTCTTTGATGCTCATCCTTTTGATTATGGTCGGGCATATCTTTTCCATCACAACATCAACACAGGTGGTGCAGCTTCCTCCAGGGTATGCCCTTACCATGTGTCACGACCAAGTGAGCAATGATGCAGTCTGTAAGACCACTGATGGAACAAAGTATAACTGAAGGATATAAAGCTCCCAGTCAGCCCCTGTTGTTTTGACCAAGAAAGTAAAAAAAAAAAAAAAGGCAGTTTTGTGTGGACTTCAGAGGGTTGAGCTCAGTAATCATTAAGAACCTTTACCCACTAATATAAATAGAAGACACTTTTGATCATTTCTTAGGTGCACTAGTGCCTGGCACTTCTAGTTTAACATCTGGTTTTGGCCAGGTTCCTCTTAAGCTTGTAGACAAGAAGAAAGCTGCTTTTTCATCAGGAGTGTAGCAGTATCAGTTTTGTGTCCTGTGAGAATCTGCAACGCCTATCCTCGCTTCCAGGGAATCATGAAGCTACAGCTCCAGGGAATACAACGAACTGTGTGCATCATTTATCTTGATGGCATTATTGCTACAGCACATGTTCACAACATCTGAGGCAACTAAAGTCTTTCTCTATTTGTTGTCTGCAGAAGCTGAAGTTGTATACGACACAACTGGAAATATATGTTTTCAACAGATTCAAAGTATGTACCAGCCAGAGGAGCTGTAAAGCCCTGATCGTACTCAAGAAGAGGACTGCACATGGCTGAACAAAATGTCATAAAAGAGAACAATATGTGCAACCATTCAACAAAATTCAAAGGATGTAAAACAGAAGATCTTAACTCTCTTGACTTTTTAATCAAGGCAAGAGGACCAATTGGCAATAACAAAATAACATTTAATCAACTCACCTGTAGCTTTTAAGCAAACCAAATTCAAGTTCCAGACAGTCAAGATTGTCAAAATATATTTGAGCCTGCTGGGAGAATTGGCACTGTTTGCCTACAGTCAGTTGCATCAGTGTGACCCCTGAATTCTGTTTACACCACAACTGTCTCTCAGACAGGAGAAATGTTTATTCCTGACTCAGTCATATTCTTACATTTACCCTGGTTGTACAAATTATGTACTGGAAAAAACAATACACATTCTGCATCTGCTATTTATGAGTTCATAGCAAATTCTCTGGTGTAACTTGCAGTACTTTGAAAGAAACAACCCACAACACTCACCTCCAGCAGGTAGCATTGCGATGACAATGATGCCAAGGATAGGGAAATAAGCCACATTAAAAACACATTCATCTGGAGACAGGATCGCTGTGGATCATCTCCAGCTGCACAGTAGCAATTTACTGATTTATTAGAATTATTGACATAGAAAATGTGACACCTTATAATGTATCCATATCAGGAGGTATGGGCAGGTTCTGGACTGACCTGTTTTTTGTTCCGCATCCTGACACAAGTCTGGACTATGAGAACCCCTGATGTAGAATATCGAGCATACAGTCAGCAGTTACCACATGTGCTGTGCAGATAGTCCACCTCGTCTGCGATTTTTGTTCTGCACGTCAACATCCAGACGAAGTGTGTGAAGCCCCTTATGAACCCATAAAAACATCCACAGACAAAATTCAGCCCAAGTGGCTTTACATTGTTTTCAACAGAAAGGCTGATAACACAACAACAATAACACAGTCACAACGGTTACGGTTATTTTGTTGAATTAAATTCAGTCAGATGTCCAGGTTTCAGTAAATGCATCAGTGTTGACTGCAGGTAAACAAAGTGTTACATGAATGTACATGCAATGCTTACAGTTGCTTACAGCCACAGCCAGTCAGATTTGCAATTAGTCCAAAAACATCACAGGCTTCTCAGTGGCCCCATCTGGTCCCCCTATGAAACACTTCAGGAGGACCCACTGATTGCAGCAGAATGTAAATTCATTGACTGTTCTTTTTGCTGTTACTGTTATTCAGGATCACTGGACACAATATATTAAAAAAAGCCTCTTTGATGAGCTATAACATTAAAGTGATGTGAATATTTAGGCCGTATTTAATTCATATATTTATTTGCATTGATTTAAAACAGACCGTAAAGGTGTTCCTTGGTAAATATTGTAAGTGGTTTTCAGATCTATATTAAACCATGAAACATTTTTCATTTGCCCTTTAAAAATGTCATGTGAAAATATTTCACAGATATTTAGACAATCACTGTCTCCAGGGTTTAAAAAATGACCCAAATGACAGAGACCCACTGCACTAAACTACATGACAAAGATCTTTTACCCTGTTGTAATGGCTGCATCCATCCTGGACCGCCGAATCAGAGAGTAGCTGCTGACTGCACCCATGGTGACCCAGTTTTTCTTGATTACCTCCAGTTCTCCAGTTCTGAAAAAGTCCATAACGACATTGTGCATAACCAGTGGTGGAGGGGGAGTATTCAGGACCTTTACTAGGTTTAAAATACCAGTACAGCAGATAAAAAATCCTACATTACAAGTAAAAGTAGTGCTTGAAAATCCTACTGAAATAAAAGTGTATATGGATTAGCAGTCAGATATACATAAATTATTAAAGCACCACTATTGGTCTGGTCCCCATGACTGATATAGGATTATAACTGTCCTCTTTTAGATTTTTAATAGTGAAGCATCAGCTCGTCAGCAACATGTTACTGTTGCAGGGGGAGCTAACTTGAACTACTTTAACTTTACATACGAGGAGAGGAGATGAATGTGAGGGTTTGCAATATGAGTAAAAAGGTTCCGATCCACAAATCTGTTTTGAGTTTTGGGAATTTCCTCCAGTCTTTTTGGTGAGAATTTTGGATCATTTGAACGTTTATTGAAATAAAACCACATGAGAGGTTTAGAAGGAAAGTCACCCTGTGGTGCAGCTGTTAACAGTCCATAGACATACAGACTTCTGAAATGCAACCCTAGCTGCGCACTGCTTTCTGTAGGGAGCCAAAAAAGGTTGTAAACCACTGGTTTATCCCCTTAAGCCCAGGGGCCTCTTGGGTTTCACACAAATAAATAGTGTGAAACAATGCACTCATTTGAGTGAAAATTTTGAATGAAAACACATATGCACAGTGCTGTGGTTTTCGTCTGGTCTATTGCATATGGAGCGAGAAGCATGGTAGCAACCAAGGAGTAGGGCAAATGCAGTGCATCGACCGACATGGAAGGGTTGGACCCGAATATTTGAGACCCAAATATTCACCCGCCATGTGTAACCCACCGCTGTCGCCCGTGGTGGAAACAGAACTGTGACCACTATCCTAAACTGGCATTATCAGCCAAGTACTGCCTCTGCGTCCCACCCACTTCCACCCCATCAGACCAAAGAAACTGACTCAGCAAAGTTGCAAAACAACTCTGCTTTACTTTTGTGGATACTATGCATTGTTATGCTCAGGATTGGTCAGCCCACTTCTATTTGAAAAGCCTTTTGATTAAACAAACTGTCAGCAAGCAATTTACAACTTTTGCACTATTGAGTTTGGTACACTATAGCTTTAATGCACATTAAAAACAGCTGCTTGCTAAATTGTTCTTTTTTTATTTGCATCAATAAAGTTGTGCAGCTTTGAAGTATTTTGTCTAGCGTCAATTATATCGTCAGTTATATCGCAAATGTTCTCATTTATATCATGATGAATATTTTTGGTCATATCACCCTGCCCTAGTGCTGATTGCTAATTGCTAATTGGATGAAGACTCGCTCCATCCTGATCACGTGATCCTGTGCCGCTGTTAAGATCCGCGCCGTGCTTTCCTCCTCTCTTTCTGACGTCACCCTCCCTCCCCCTCCCCTTAGCAACAGAGGCAACATGGCGGCGTCCAGTAACGCGGAGCATTCTCCAGAGATATCGACGCCGTTAAAGATACCGAAAACCGAGGTGCCATCCCCCGAGTCGGAGGATTTGAGTGACAGTAATCAATACCACTCCAATCCCTCGACGCCTAACCGCTTCTCGCCTCTGAACGTGGGCTCGGGGACCGCGGGCCGGACGGCGGCCTCATCCTCCTCCAACAGCTTCACGGCTTGCCGAGGGATGTCGTGGACGCCGTCCGAGACGAACGCCCTGATCGCGGTGTGGGGCAACGAGAGGTTGACGGAGGCGAGGATGCAACAGCTGGAGGTGGCCGGCACCGTGTTCTCCGGCAAGGCCCCCGGTCCGGCCATGTACGAGCGGGTGTCCAGAGCCCTGTCGGAGCTGGGATACGAGCGGACCCCGTCCCAGTGCCGGGAGAGGATGAAGGTAAAAGGTTATGAGGACACAACAAAGGCTGCATGTCCATCCTCCATCACCTGGACTCTGACCTGAGTGGGCTGCACACACTAACATGAGTCCAGCAGCAGCTTCATATTCAGCTGAAACACACATTAGGTTTCAATCAGTTGTGTTTGTTGACACTGATGCATGTAGATTTGTGGGCTCATCACACTCTCTCTGATAGTGTCCACCTTCACATGCACTGTTTTGTGGTAGACAAGCATCAACATAATGCTCCCAGTTGACCAGTAAGGGTTTGTTTTTTCATTTTCATGGTCACTGACTGCAGATCAGCTTGAATCTGATTCATTTACAGCACAGTCATGTCTCCCAGACCCAGAAACTCACATTTAGATCTGAAGTCAAAGCTTTCATTCATTCATTCATTCATTCATTCATTCATTCACCTGCCTGCCTGTGATGGACACATCATGTGACATAAATATATTTTACACCGGTCAATACAAACTTGTGTCAGTACTACTTCATATAACATGACTGTGAAGCCACTGCTTTACCTGTCAACACACCTGTCACCATTTACTGTACAGCATCAGCATATTTGAAATTATGTGGGCTTAAAAAAACAAAACAAAACAAAACAACAGTCCTGCCCGTGACGATGTTGTTTGTTCACAATTTATGTAATAGAACTGGGACTCTGGTGCCTCATCTACATTTAATTAGTCAGGCTTCATTTATGTATAAACACAATGAAACACAAAGTGGTAAACATTATGTAAAAAGACAATGAAGGACTCAATAATAACAGATCTAATTAGAAAAAAAACTAGATGCTGGACAAGTCAAACATCCAGAAATAAGACAAGTGAAGTGTTATAAAATCTATAAAATAGTATAAATGCATAGACAAATAAATAAAATAAGCAAAAAAAAGAATATAATTAATACAAATTTAAAGCAGAACTTGAGTTCACTTTTAAGAATACCTACATTTTCACTGCCCTCGGGTTTTCTAGAAAACTGTTCAACAAAATGATGCCTCACTGTGGGTTTTGTTCTGATTTTGGTTATCATTAAAGGAAAACTACCAGAAGGTTTCTAGAAGTTTGAGATAGGTATGAACAGGTAGATCATTAAGAGTTTTACAAACCAATGAAAGGATCAGTTTTAAATCAGACAGACAGCCAGTACCGAAACCTTAAAATTACTGTAACATGTTCTCTCCTTCTGGCCTTAGTCAGCACTTATACATCTACAGTGAAAATGTCCTCATGCTAAGATGTGACAGTGAGGCTGTTCTCATCCTAGAACTCAGAGGTACCAGTGCTCTGTTTTTCCAGCCCTGAGTCAGAGAGGCTGTAAGTGTAAAATAGGATTAGTAATGGACGTGCCATCATTAGCATCTAGCAGACATAACACAGTTGTTTTTTTGCTGAAGGGACTGCTGGTGTTTTGAACAGATGCAATCAGAGCCGATACTGGGCTCCTGTCCTCCGTGTTTCTTTTTCCATTGAATAGTTTCTGTTAAAAGATGAGGCCTGCAAGGAGGCACGGTGGTCAGCACCGTTGCCTCGCAGCTAGAAGGACACCGGTTTGCGTCCTGGTGAGGACACCTGGGATCTTGCTGTGTGGAGTCTCCATGTTCTCCCCGTGCAGTGTGGGTTCTCTCCGGGTTTTCCAGCTTCCTCCCACACAGTCCAAAAACATGTTGAGGTTAATTGGTGATTCTAAATTGTCCGTAGGTGCTTGGTTGTCTGTCTCTTAAGTGTAGCCCTGTGATAGACTGGTGACCTGTCCAGGTGAACCTGCCTTCACCCTAAGTCACCCCTGCGACTCTAGTGAGGATTAGGCAGTGTATAAATAATGGATGAATGGGTGTTTAAAGTTGAAATATTCAATCTTTTTCTCTTTATTTCATGAAAACCAAAAGATCTACTCAACACTAGGGCTAAACAGTCAGTCACACTATTGTAAATGTTGCAAAATGACCAACTGCAGTCCAAATATAATCAGCTGCAATTTCTTTGGTAAAGGTAAAACGCCACTTGTAAATGAAACATCATGGCAACTCCGATAAATCATTTTCTCCAGATGAATTACAACATGCTTATTTGGTGCAGCAACAAAAAAACATTTTTCTATTTTGTTTACTGGAAAAAAATGAGAAATTACCATTTATCTGAAAATTGTGATTCGTATCGCAATCACATGATATGACCGATAACAGCCACTTTTTTTCTTTACATTGAAATGTATTTATTGTGCAGCACATACAAGACGTATGACACAGAATTGTAGCCGTACGCATCAAGAATAGTGCATCGGAAAAATGGCTTGACAGAAAATATTAAAGTCTGAAGTGTGGATCGTCATATCTGGCCGATACTTGAGCCACTTAATGAGGTCAGTCTCAAGGTTGATGTCTGATTGGTTCGTCCCCACTCAGGTTTGAGATATATTGCAAAGTGGTGCCCCGGGGTTGCAGCTCTCACAATCAGCTACAACACACCAGGACGATGTCTGACTGGGACACTTTACTGTCGCTCCACCACCTCCATATCCGGTCATGTCTCTAGAGCTGGTAATCAAATAAAGATGGAAAATGCCCCAAAAAACAGTGTTTGGGGTCATGCCCCCTGCTTTGGCCATAATAGCCAAAGTGTACTGGTGCATTCTGATGCCATTATTCTATTAACATCGATCTTAATTAGTGCATATTTTAAAGAGTTTTCCTACCAGATTGTAAACAGTAGGTGAGTAATAATGAAGGAGAATTGGGCATCTGGTGCATTTTAGTCCTTTAAATGACTTTTAATATTTAAAACCAATCTTCAGATTTGCTTGCCAGTTATATGGAAACACTAAGCTAACGATGGTTTAATGTATTGTTTCAGTAGAAACATGAATCTACTCCTATTCAACAAAAATAAACCAGGTTATTTTGGGGGGGGACATGTTTATAATCTAACGTCTTATCTCGCCTTTTGAATTAAATTATCAGAAAAATAAACTTATGCCCAAAGTGACTCTATAATAACTAAATACGAATCACTTAAATCAAGTGAATCAACTTAATCAGCTCAACTTCTAATTGTCTTTGCCTTCGTTTTTTTTATTTTTACTTATTGTTCATTGGTCATAGAGTCCATCAGTTTTTATGGTGTTTTCTGAAGTCGTCCATCGACTGAGGATGTCCCCGTCAGTGCAACCAATGCAGTTCTTAGTGTTTTGCCTTCCGTCATTTACTAATATTTGTAAAACAGCGAGATCTCTACTCTAATCTGCAGGGCTCAACCTCTCAGTTAGACACACATGCATTCATATAGAGCATGATGGAGCAGGACTGATACAGATACAGCCACATTTCTCTGTCATCGTGCTCATTGTTTGGAAGCAGAGGCTACTGGTAGCAAATCACACCTTGTTAATGAAAACTATTTTATCAAAATCCAGAATGAACTTAAAAATGCAGTCGGCTAGACTTTAAAGAGTAGTTACCAGCTGGCGCTTATGGAAAGCGCCGCTGCTGTGGTCAGTAATGATGTTTCCTCTCTGTAGAACTGTCTTAAGAAAACTGCCAGTTAGTTGATGAACAGCTGAGTAAATCCTGTCCTCCCGTCACATCCAGACACTGCGGCGCTGCTACAGCCGCGTGAAGGAGCACGGCATCGGCAAGAGGAAGAGCAGCTACACCATAGAGCAGCTGGAGAAGGTGTTCGGTCAGGGAGGCTGGGACTCCCAGAGCTGTGCACCCGTGCTGATCAACAGCAGTGGGCTGTATCAGGAGATGGAGTCTGATGGCAGCACCCTGGAGGACTTCTCCCAGGAGGACTGGTGCAACCAGGTGCTGGACTCGGCATTCCAGGAGGGAGACATGGAGACTGGTGAGTCGTGTGATAATAGAGGACAGGTAAGAAATAAATGACTCAAGAAGGTTGGTTAGAACTAATATTTGTCTTTTTTTTTTTTCCCACTAGAAGAAATCCAGGTGCCTAAAAACCGAGCTCTACAGATTCAAGCAGAGCTGTCAGAACAAACCCAGTAAGTCCACTGGAGCCACTTCACTCTGTCTGTAAATTGAACATGTTTGATGTAAAGTTTGTGTTGTAGGTTAAAATAATCCAACTTACTGTTATGTCTCCTCAATTAATAGTCAATCTGACAGAGCAAATGTGTGTTAAATGCAATCAAGGCAAGTAAAAATGATTTTAGTCAGTGGAACGAACATTCTCTTCAGAAATAGGTTCAGGTTTGCTGTTTAACAAATCAGTCTGTGTGCAATGCCAGTGTCTGTTTTCATGGTGCTGCCACTGGGAGGCGCCAAAGCTAGAATTTACTGATGCAGGCTCCCTCAGCCATCAGCTATCTGGGTAAAAGAGGCCAGGACACATAGGTCACTGCTGATACAGCGCTTTCTAACTTGGGAAGTATGTTGTATTACTTTGTCTATTCTTGTGTGCAGAAAAAGGGACATGATGCAGACTGTGATCCGTATTCTCGAGTCGGTGCAGCTGAAATGGGAGCACTTCCAGACGTGGACTGAGTTCTCACGGCTGCATCTCTCCAACAAACTGGCCATCTTCGGTGTGGGCTACAACACGCGCTGGCGTGAGGACGTGCGTTACCACTACGCCGAAATCAGCTCACAGGTGCCGCTGGGCAAGAGGCTTCGGGAGTACTTCAACCCGGAGAAGCCGGAGGGCCGGATTATCATGACCAAAGTTCAGAAGATGAACTGGAAGAATGTCTACTACAAGTTCCTGGACATTACCATCAGCGAGGCGCGCTGCCTGGAGCTGCACATGGAGGTAGACTGGGTCCCTGTGTCCCAGTCCAGACCTACAGGCTGCAGCAAAGGAGCCTCCCACTACCTCCTGCCTGGGGACATCCCTAAGGCATATGGACTATACGCTGTTGGCTACGAGGCAGTGTTGTCCTCCAGTGACGCTGCTCAGACCTCTCCCCAGGGTAATAGCGAAGATAATAGCTTACCTCAGTGCGGCTCAGAAAACGGGGCTCCGAGTCAGTCTGACGGAGAAGGAGCAGGACAGAGTGACAGGACTGGAACAAAGGTCACTTACTGCTACCTGGGCATAGCTGAGGACAGGACCATACAGCAGTGTCTGTTCCAGCACTTTCAGGGTTCTGGCAAACACTACGTCCACGGAGAACCCTCCAGTGTGACACGTTTCCTGCAAGAGAACTGTCGCACTGCCAGAACAAGTCAGAACGGCGAGGGAGGCGAAGACTCGCCTCAGCGTTTTGCAATTTACATAAAGTTCATAGAGGTGGAGCTGGACTTCCTCTCAGCAGGCTCCCTGGTGGAGTGTCTCGAAACTGCTGTTGGTTATTCCTTGAAGTACAACAACAAAGAAACGTTGTAACTACCACTCAGTGTTGGGATTTGTACTGACTTCACATATAACTAACAAATGTTACAGCCAACAAGGCAACATGGAAGGGTTCAGTCTGTTCTAAAGCATGGATGTGTTCAAGAGTCTTTCCTATTTTTTGGAGCTGTAACTAATAATTATTTCCTCTATTTTGTCTGCCATTGTACTCCTGATGAATTGGTTTAACTATAAAATGTTCAGAAACTAGTTAGAGATGCCAGCTGTAATTTTCCAAAGCTCGAAAGGATGCATCCAGATTGCTTGTTTTATTGAACAAACAGTCTTAAGATGCAAAAAAAATCTTCAGTTTACAGTCAGCTTTGGCGAACGCATCTAATTTGAAATGTTCTAACAAGAAAATGTTTGGATTTTTTTTTGCTCAAAAGTCATTTAAAAGATGTGTCGGTTATCAGAACATATGCAAATGATCTGTCGACCGATCAGATTTTGCAGCCTTTTCAGCCAATATCACATCAGACTCTCGTGTAAATGAATGCACAATATTGCAAATATATTGTGTACAAAAGCGGAATCTGTAGCTTAAGTATTACAGAGCTTCACCATCCGAGAAGTGCGTACTTGTTCTTTTTAGGCTGATGTGCACTACAAAGTTTTTGCTGCTTGTTTAGTGTAGATAAAAAAATTTGCCTCATCAGGGAGTGTGGAGTTGGCAAGGTGACCACTGCAGTATGCATTTGTCTACCTCTGTAGGATGTAGCAAACAAGGCAGCGAGGGGACCATAGCGTGTATTTATTCTGAAACTGCCTTTACTTTGACTGTTGAGGTCTGGACCTGAATTCACAAGAGTAACGGCGGATTTATGCCTTATGTTTTGCACGTATTACTGTGGCTGTTGCTAGGGATGCTTCCACGCAAAGTACGGACGAAAAAAAAGCAAAGAATCAGTATTAGCTGGGTGGCGTTGGCCGGCGTGCGCTCTGTAACGTGATGCTGGAGAACGTTTCACACAACTTACGACGGCTGATTTTGATTTTACACCTTCGAGCTGTGAAAAGATTAAATGAAGGTTTATTTATTAGAGCATTTCTTCTGGGGGTGTCATGATACTAGAAATGTGGTAGTTGCTACCAGTGCCACTGAAAATCCACAATTCTCAAGACCGTAAATCAATCAGAGGAGTGTCTTTCAGCGTTAACCGGCGTCTCCAGCACTTCTACTGTATGTATGGCACTATGGAAACACTGGTACCAACATGATTTCAGAACTTTGGCGTCCCTAATCTCTGCCACTGACGGATGCTTGATTATCAGCTGACCGTGCTTCCCACCCAGACATAAAGACACAACTGGCACAACCAAATGCAGCACACTCTTTAAGCTGTGTGTGTGTGTGTCGCTCTCCCGCTGTACTTTGCTTTATCCATTACAGCACATTGAAGTGCTCGACTCGGTCTGTCAGTTTAGCACCTGCACATGCAAAATCTGCTGAGTTCTGTCTTTGCTACACATTCCGAAATACTGCCAGATTACTATGAATTGAATTCTTGTGTCTTTTTTTTTTTTTTATGCCATGGTATCAGCCAAAACGAGAAACCGAGTGTAACGGTCAGTCGGTTAGCCAGTATGAATGAGTGGCCAGTACTCTGGAGCATCTCTAGCTGCAGCCGTGGGGTTGTGGGCATCAGGAGACACACACCACAGACTGTACTGACTGTATTGAGTTACCGCGTGCTGGTATTTCAAATGCGGAGAACGCTATATCTTGCCTGTGTTTGTGATCATCTGTTTGCTTACAGGTATAAACCAGAGCACTGATCTACAGCTGCAGAGGTTCACTCACCCTTGACCAATAATCAAACGAGTTCCTTTATGAACATTCTTGAGCTTATGTGCAATGTGCCAGGAAAGGACTGTGTAGAAAAGAAACAATGGGCAAGTCCATATTGAATCTATGTATATGAAATCTATCTTATATATCTATAATATATATTTAAGAATATAAATGTTCTTGAGCATTCCGGCTTTTGCAAACTTGCAATGTTCATTTGTTTGGGTATACAGTATATAAAGATAAATATAATATTTTCTATTTTATTGGTTGACACCATGTCTTGTATGTGATTGTTTCAAAGTCACCGTCTTGTATGTTTACATGTTTGAAAAACAATAAATGGGGCACTCACTGTCATTTGCCGCACAGTGACACGGGTTTGTGTGTGTCGGTAATTTAGTTATTAGATTTTGTTTATTCAAAAATATCTGAAATGGATAAACACTGTGTAGGAAGCATTTGTGTTGATGCTGGCAGGTAATTTAATATGGATTATGTGGACACAGGGTGTGTATGTGGAGGGCACACAGTTCTCACCAGACCAGCATCACACCAGCACAGACATATACCAAATTCATCCATCCATCAATTATCTATACACCGATTAATCCTCACTAGGGTCGCGGGGGGGCTGGTGCCTATCCCAGCTGACTCAGGGCGAAGGCAGGGGACACCCTGGACAGGTCGCCAGTCTATCACAGGGCTATACCAAATTCACCATAGGAAGACCACTGTATCTTCATTTTTTGCATATCATCCACTAAACGGCAAGTATGCAGACTGGAAATTCTGTTTTTGGTCTGCGTCGCTTCTCTCTGCTCCACAGTAACGGCAATTAAAGAATATTAGGACACTGAAAATTTGCCATTACACACTGTATTACTAAGAAAAAAAACAAAGTTTGTCTGTGTCCAAGTGAAGTAGTGGAAATGCAGAAAATATGCCATTGTTAGGAAAAAGGTGGGCAAATCAGCTCCTGTGTCTTCCAGGTGAAAAGCAGCCGACACCCAAGATTTAAACAGCAGGTGACTGTGTTGCTGTTGCCCCACTAGCAGCATGACTGTGAGGATGGCAGCGTGAGTCTGTCCAGACTGTAATATCTAAATGAGCATCAGATGGATTGTTAGATTTTCTCTCTGTTCCTGTAGCGCTGCTAGGAACCAAATTTTATTGTATTTTTTTTTAGATATTGAGTGAAATATCTTAAGATCTGTTTATTGGATCTGCGTTAAATCTGTCCATGGCTCCCCGTGGCCTGATGAGTGGCTGATTCCCCTGATTTCGAGTGCTACCATGAAGCTGACATGTTTGTTTTTAGGGGAAATGTCTTGACAGCTATTGAACTGATTGCCAAGAAACTGGGTGAGAAACATTCAGATTGCATCCAAATGAATTGGTATAGCCTTCCCTTGCTATCTTTGTCTAATATTTAATGACCGGATACCTGCAAACTAGTGAACTTCACAACAGCCTACTTTAACTAGGTGTGAATAAGCAAATGTTTGCACACTAACAGGAGGCAGTTGCATTCTGCAGGAATTCAGCAGGAGGCATAAAGTACTGCAAACATTTACAAAATGGCCCCCAGTTGGCAAATTTCAGGATTTCCTGTTCTGTTGTGGTGTAAAATCCAAAAGATTCAGCTGTGATATTAACACAGAGTGCACCAAAACAATGACAAATAGTTACGAGCACACAGGAAATAGAACAATGGAGCTTCAGCCTATACGGAGAATTTGCAGTATTGATGGTAACGTTATAGAGGTGACAACTACGAGACGGGACATCAAGAAGCATCAAGAAGGCAGAAAAATGTCACCTATTGTCTTCTCAAGTTCAACCAGTCAGCATGTTTCTTCAAGTTAACCAATCAACATTGAGATCCGTATGACATCGTGCACCAATCCTTCACGCAGTCAGCAAGCCCAGGCTAGCTGCTAGCTTAGCTCGCTGTATTTTCCAAGTAGTTTGCCCAACACTACATGCTAATAGTGAACGATGTAAATGCCAGATTTCAAGTGGACATACTATGCTTTTTGTAGTTTTCTCTTATTCGTATACCACAGAATGGGATCATAATGGAGGATGTAATACAGTACAAATACTAAAGCCATAGTCTCACCTAGATCAGTGGTTCTCAAACTGAGGGTCGGGCCCCACATGGGGGTCCCAAGATAATTTCAGGGGGTCGCCAGATCATTGTAAAAATAAAAATAAAATAAAATAAGACCTACATTTATCAAATAAACTTGTCTTAGGGCTGTCAAAATTAAAAGTTCTTCCAACTTATTTTTTGAACTTGTTAATATTCTGATTTTATTATGCTATAGTATCATTCTTTTTTGCTCTTTTTAAATTTCTTTTCTTTTGTTTTATGTTTTTTCCCCTTTAATTTGTTCGAAATAAATTCAATTCATTAATTCATTTAAAAGAATATTGACGTGTTAATGTAAAGAGAAAAATCTGTGGAATTAACACATTAATTTTTAACGCATTAATGCATGAACAACAAAGTTATTACTCATGCCAGATTAAGAATTAAAATTGGGGGGGTCACAAACACAAACTTATGTTATCTTGGGGGTCATGGCTCAAAAAGTTTGAGAACCACTGACCTAGATAACCCCTTCATATAGTATGTACTAGAGCTATAAAACAGGAAACAAATATGTATTTTATGTACATTAAAGCATCTAAATATGTTATAGTGTACCCCTAAAATAAAAACATGGAACTAAAAATGAGCATAATATGTCTATTGTGTGTCGCCTTGCAAAGCTGCAAACACAGCCGTGCACTCTGGCCTTGTCGAGGTGCAGAGCTTATTTAGAACAGGCAGACCACTGTCATTTTAAATACCGGTGGATGCAAGTGTAGTCTGATGGATGTGGAAACAAGATGTCATTCTCTCTTGTGTCCAGGAGATGGCCACAGAATGCCGTTGCTGAAAAATCTCCTTGTGGTAGGATAGAAACGACAGAAACTAAATATATAGAGGCCTGCTTCAAAAAGCACGAACAAGGGATGAAATACAAACAGAGACAGGCGTGGACTAATAACTTGACAGAGACAAAGCAACACTGTGTGCAAAAACACTGTGTTTGTATGTGATGTGTATTCAAGGGGATAATACCACTGACCTTTCAGAAGCCAGCCTTTGGAACTGGAACAAATACCTGGACATTTTTCAGACTCATTGTTTTTTATCCAAAAACAGAATCATAAGATTTTTATGTAATAGGATATCTATTTATAAATGTATTTTTACATCTTATGCACTTTATGCACAGGGGCACCAGAACAAAAAGAAAAGCTGCATTCTGCCCTTTGTTGGTTAATAATTAATGTCACATTTTGCCATTCGCTCTTTTATTTACATTGTAGGTGCAAAATATTTCCAATGGAGAAAAAAAATGACACACACATTACATAAATGTTTTATGTTGCCCTGCTGTTGTGTATTTGATTTGGCTTGTTTGCTCGTGTTCACAGGATTTCATTACTGCAAACAAAGTCATTTATGAAAAAATTAGCATTTTGTCATCAAGCAACAGAATCCTTTAACAAACACATCAGTCCTGCAGCGATGTTCTTCTGTAAATCCAAATTTGAAGTATAAAAACATGAAGCCAATCAAAGCGTCCCCTGGTCTCGTAAAACAGATCTACTTATCTTATCTTGACTATAAACTGAGACAATCCAATCATCAAAAACAAAAGATTTTTACATCCTGTTCATTCGTTTTATTTTGACATCTAAGCTATAAACACAGGTAAAACACAAGTCACATTGTCTAAGTCTATAGATTTATCTGGTTGAAAGGTAGAAAAGCCTGTGGCAATAACCAACCATCTAAGGTGCAGGTGAAATTCCACTGCACAGCACTCCTCTACAGCCTGCAGGGAGTGCCAGTCCCAACTCTGACACTGCCACTTCACGGTTTAATGCTTTGTATTTGAGACCTTGATAAAGATACCTTCACCCTCAATATGATTGCAGTGCCTTTGTGGGGCCTGAAGTTGACTACAATCTGGGCTGTGGACACTTTAAAAGATATCTGAAATGTTAAATAACATAAATTACGATTCCTAAGTGTAGATGTTTGTCTAAGGATGGTTACATAGCCCACTCTGGTAATGTGCCTACTGTATGTGAGCACATAAGCAGGCTGTAATTATCTGAGCAGTTCTGTGCTTCAGTGAACTCAACTGATAGATTTCTGCTACCATTTCTAACCTAACTACTGTGTTGTTCACTTTCGTGGTCACCTCATAGGGACACCTCAGTCTAAACAGCAATTATCAGTCAGCTCTGAGCCATGTGTGCCAAATCCCCAGAAATATTTAGTAGCTGCATGTTTCTGGGGATTTACTTGGTTTTGGTTGCTGCGTGTTAATAGGATTTGATCTGATTTGTTTCTACCCTATAACCTGCTCAACTTCACTACAATGCCATTGTACTTTCCTGATTGAATGAGTTGTAGCTAATTTACTAAATTAATTCTAATTAATATCTCCTCTTTTTTTGGATTGGGAGAGGATACTGTAATGAAATCATAACAGAAGAGAAGAAATATCTTTCATGTAGCCTTAGGTTGACAATTAATTGGAGCGAGCAATATGTTTGGCCTCCAGGTGTCAGCTTTGCTCACCATTTGACCAGACTTTCTTTTGTCTGTTAGCAGTCTTGTCCAGAACCCAGCATTAGCCTCTCTGCTCCACTCAAATTATTGTTTCTTCTAAATAAAAACAGGCCTGTTTTGACAGCTTTTGCCCGAACGCTGTAGATTTCAGCTGGAGGCCGGGATGCACTTTACAACAACACAACAAAATCTCAACCCAACAAGGATTGGACCCTGCTTCTTTGGATTTAATCACAGGAATAACCCTTGTTCACCTCTCATAATTGAGCAGTCTGCCTGCATTAGCCTCACCCTTGTTGCTGAGGCAACTGGGCAACCTTAGAAAATGAAATAAAGGGGTCTGAGCACCTCGGAGAGCACAGGTCAGTCCATATTTTTACATCAGGGTGGTGAGCTCACCTTGGGAATTCACATCAAGCTGAGTCCAGTCTGTTTCTCTGCTTTCAGACCCACACCTCTTCACACATGATAGAACAGGAGCCGAAGCTTTTCAAGGGAAAAGGTTGGAGCTTTAGTTGTGAGGCTTTGAAAATAAGCTTATTGTTGAAAAAGCTTGAGCCACGGTATTTGAAACTGGCAAGTTGCAGCAAAGTGAGCCTGTCTGGAATTTAGTGAAACACCTTTTTCTCTTGCTTTTTATTTCATTTAAATGTAAATTCAGGCTTTAAGTCAGCATTGAGACATTTCAGCCAGGGCACTGCTTATGACACTGAAAGGTTATAATTTTGATTCTTTTGTTGTTTTTTTGTATTTTTGAGAAGAATTCAGCTTGACTTACAGCTTTACAAAAAAAATCATATAATCGCCTCCATTCAGACCTAAATATGATTAATTCCATTTGTCCTGTTGTCTCTATATATTTTTTTTCTCATCATATGGTGAGGTAAGGCTATATGTCAGCCTTAGTAAACCTTAATTTAGCCGTTTCCTCTTGTTTCCTGAAACACAGTTCTGGTGCTCCAACAGCTTACAAACTTGAATTTACAACAGCTAAACAATAATAAACAATAAGGGATAAAAGTAGAAGCAGACAGCAGACAGTGTAGCAGTGTTTTGTGTTTGCAGACTTTAACGCCTGAAATTTAAGCAATGTATTGTGGTTTTAAATGAAATATTTTAAAGAATTTTACTAAGGATGAATTTACAAAAGTAGCCTGTTAGCTTAGTAAATGAATTCATGATAAAGCTGAAGAATCTTAACACATTTCTGTACATTTATTTAAAAAAAATAAAAATAAAATCCATTGCATTGGCTAAACACAGATTGTCTTTTTCTTCATATATGGTCTTTGAGAGTGATGAAAAATCTACATAAAAAGCATCCTACTCTGACACTTGTATGCATATTTGTTATCTTCATTCAAACCGACTTTTACACCTTCGCATGACTCTTATTTTATATTGTCAGAATAGTACATCAAAATACACCAGAACCACATATTTTAATCTCCTCAGACCAGTGAAATGATGTCAATAATATTTTATGATAAATACACCACCATCATCCAAGACTTAAAACGAAAATTACATCTAATTATCTGCGTTTTTCCTATAACTTATATAGGCTATTTATTAAACATTATGGATTTTTTTTCTTATCATCTTCACTATTTGCCACTGAAATTAAATCAAATGAAATCTGCCATTTTTGGACTTTTATATATTTTAAAGTGAGCATGAGCAGTAGTTGACACCTGCTCATGACGCTGAACTAGAGAACAGGTGTAACTGCGTCAAGCTCAACTTTACAGGTTTTAAAAAAGGAACTGTTGAACTTTCAAAATAAAAGCAGGGCTGTCAGGGGACACGCTCACTAGAACGGTGTTCGTAATTAAGCTGCTTTATTTTGAAGCCTCTAGAGCGGAAATGGTTGTTATCATTGCGGCTAACTTTAGAGCCGTCCAGCTGAGGTGGCACGGCTCTCTCTCTCTCTCTCCCTCTCTCTCTCTCTCCTCGGTCTCTCTCTGCTCTCTCCGTCAGGAAAGGACGCGGGATGACAACTTGCAGAGTTGTACTGGCCGCCGCGTCGATAAGGAGGAAATTGCAGATGCAGCCGTGCGTAAAGAGGAGGAGAAGAGTCGCGGAGGACCTTCCGTGTCGGCGGTGGTGATCCAATTTCCACCTGACTTTATTATTGCCATCTCCGCAAAGTCAGAAAAGAGGATTCCTGCTGCGGCGGGATAAGACGGCTTCCACACTTCCCTCACCTGAAGTGTCCCTTTACCTTCCCCGGTGTCTGCTGGGAGATTGGAGGAAAAGACTTGGAAGAGCTTGGCCCCGAGGCGAAAGCAAGAGCTCAAGATATAAAGCCGGTGAAGGACATTAACGCGCAGAGAAGTGGCTGCATCCACCATGGAGGTCTGCTCTACTTCCAGGAAACTTACTTTGCTCTCAGTCACCTTTCTGTGGGGGCTCTCAGGTCAGTAACCAGCTTCTCTTTCTCACATTTCTACCTTTATTTACAAGTGTGCTTTTTTTTTCTCTCTCTCTCTGGTAAACAACAACAAAAAAGGTTGTCATAACTTTCAAATATTTTTAAAAATAATTCAAACACAGGACTGAGAAAAGCTCCAAGGTGACATTCATTCAACAATTGGACCGCTTTTGACAATTAAACCACATTTCTACCCGCTTTTAGCAAATCAAAGCACAAAGTAGGCCTGCTGTTTTTTATTTTTTTTGCCCATTTTTAGCAGATCTTCAGATGTTCTGTTCTTTAATATGCAAAAATGTAATTCCTACATGAATAGTAACTGGCATTAGTCATAATCAGAACCTAATAAGTGGTGAAGAAGCGACAGAAAAGGTCTAGTTCTGGAGGTTTTTTTTCTCTGCTGTATGTGTGCCAGAGGATGAGGGGCTGGATTTAAAGCTGAAACACCTGTTTGTTTTTCACAGGATTTGAAACAAGTGTGTTACACATGATTATGTCTTCCAGGGAAGAATAATCCCTTTATAGCTGCTGCAACATTGGCTCAGCCCGTCACTCTATCGAGCAATGTATTAAACTCCTACTTTCACTGATAGCTGTACAGTAGCAGCAGCCTACTTTCCCTCCGCCATCTCTTTGATTTAGAAAATTGGGGCACGGTACAGCTGCACAAGTGTTTTGCAAAACGTTTTTGAGGAATGAGAAGTTTTAAATGATTAATTTTGGTCAAATTTTTATCTAGAAGGAGAGCATTTCACAGGGAAAGATTATTAAGATTTTTCAGGAGATAGGTTTTCTTGAGGGGAGTTTTTTTTTTCTATCAGACAGCGACTGGAGGTCATGCAGGCTCCAGATATAACAGAAAATCATTCTCCTTAAATAGCAGCAAGGGACTGCTGTGTGTTCTTCTGCTCATGAATTTTGTATTATCATTTTTATCGCCCCTCTTGTCTCAATTTAAGTCTCAGCGTCAACAGAAACTATATTTTTGTCAATTGTGAACGCCTTAAGTATTCAGTTTGAAGTTGGTCATAGACTCTCCTCACGAAGCGCTCTCCTCTCATACGGAAAAACAGGAGATATCCATTTATGTTACAGAGCTCCATCTGCTTCAGGTGAGTGCCAATTAGTTCCAAGAGACAGGCTGGTGACTTTCATTTGGCCTGTGAAACATGAAAGCAAGCAGGAGCTCCACAGTTTGCATGAATTTGCTCTCAGCTGCCTAAAGCCTGTATGTGTTTTTTTTTCAGTGCTGTTGCCAAAACAGCCACATGTGCTGACACGGACAATCTCCAGCTCACGTTTTAGTCCCCGAGGGAGGAGTGTTACCTGAGAAACTCTTCCATTGTACTACTTAGACCCCCCTGCAATGACACTTTGGTTTAAGACATTTCACGGGGTGAATTCTTGCAGTGTCTCCGACTGACTAATCTGGAGTTTTAACAGCCGGCTGTGATTCAGTGTCACAGGACAACATGAACACAGTAGCTGTCCTTGACCTCAGCGTTTGACTCACCATCAATCGCCCCGCAGGTGTGTCCTGAAAACACTCAGCGGTCAAGATATAGAGAGGAAATGTTCATGAATAGCAGCCTGTGGCAACAGGAACAGGAACAGTTCACTCCTTGAGTCCCTGATGTGGCGAAGTGTGTTAGAGCAGCAGGATGTGAGCAAACCTCCTCCCGCATTTGGTGTTTCAGTAAAACTGTTATCGAACTCAAAAGTAGTTCACCAGTGAAGTTATGTTATAAAGAAAGTATGCGTGTGAGTTCAAATAAAGTCTCCACTGGATCTGTTTGTTGTCTTAAAGTAGGAATGTGGTCATTCAATTCATTTTAGTTTCACATTTTTTAATGCTTTCTCTCAAAACCCTGTCCTCTCTCTAATAATACCTGCTTTGGTGCAAATCTGCTCCTGCTTTGAACTCTTTGTCTGCACTCAGATTTACTGTTGCTGCACAAATGTCCTGTGCTTCAGTCTGAATGCATCTCCTCGTGTCAGATGTGCACTTCCCAAACTTCTGCTCTGGGATTCGTGTGAAACAATCCCAACCGGTAGCAGGCGAACCTGACCAATGAAATCATCTCTGCCTATTTGCAGCCACAATCGCTTTGCTTTACGGCATCCACACCCACCTTTCAGGGCTCATTATATGTACTTCACTTGGGGACTTTTGACAAGACTGTTTCACACAGATCCAACAACGAGAGCACAAATCTGAGAGCAGAAGTTTTGCGAGTTGTGCAGACAAACAGTTCTGAGCAGGAGCAGAACAGGAGCTATTTGAGAGGGGTTTGAGGGAAAACATTACAAAATCTGAACATAAAATATAGAAATAATGCTCTCAAATTAAAAACGCACACTGTTGATTAAAGATAGGAGAGTAACTCCATACTCCGCTGCCCGCTGACTGCTTGATTCATGTGTCTGGATGTGTGAGGAGAGTGCTATTCCATCAATGATTTCTTAATTAACCACATTCAAGTGCAGTAAAGAGAGAACAATCAGTTAATCAATAATCGGTGTGAACACTTCTGGCTCTCTTGATATACTCGCACACAGTTTTTTCGAGGCGCTCGGCAGGTCGGTTATTTCAAGCGTCTCGGAGAACGTGTCATAGTTCTGTGGCTTCCAGCTGCCTCGGCGTCTTCTGTGTCCTCGTGTAATCCAGACTGAGTCCATGATGCTGACATCACGGCGCTGTAGGGACCATCTGTTGCAGGCTTTTGGCTGAAGGTAGTTCTGTATGACTCAGGTGATGTTTGGGCTCTCAAACGTGAGGCTGCATTTCCTTCTCTTATAGCAAATTGAATATTGACAAAACAGGAAACCACCTTGGATTGCAGGATGTGGTTGAGGACATGTTTGTCTTTTAAGTAACGTAGAGTCGGCAATTATTGTAATTGATCAAAAATAAAAAAATGTCTGACATACATCTAATATACAACACGTTTTCCTCACAGATTTAACCTTGAAAAGACAAATGTTTAATGACAACCTTACAAAAATCTTAACATGAGATGTTCTGGTTCAGTCGCACACGTCCATCGGTTCAAAGAGGACTCGCTGAAAATAGACGTCTTTGTGAGGTCACTTCACTGAACGTGAATGTGGACCTCTGTCAAATTCATTGTTACTTCTCTTCATTAAATCTGACACTTAACTCCCGTGCTTCCTCCCAGCAGCTGTATGTTTTTATGCTGAGCTTTTCCAGCCCAGCTTTTAGCTTTTTCTATCGTACGAACCCATTAATATTGTCTCAGCGAAGTCGTGTTCGGGTCAGCTAATTTGATTACATGAGCTCAGGTTCAACAGGCAGGGTGCCTAATTATGCAGTTCTCTAATTGCCTGAATTAATTTGCCCTTCTGTCATTTGTTCTAAGGTAAGTTAATACATGAATCACTTTTAGGGGGAGTTTGATCTTTTTCTATTATTAATTCGCTCTAAATGTGCTTGAGGTGTCCTTGTCGTTTGTGCTTAGGGTTTTGAGTTCCTGTTATAGACTCAAACATATTACGATAAAGGAAATCTTTGAAACTAGATTGTTAATAAGCAGGTGTGTTTACCAGTAGTAGGATGGTTTGTGCACTGACACTTGGTCTCCCCAAGTGGAAACCTGGACAGCTCCTACTTTTAGATGCTCCCAGTGTGTAATTTAAAGAGCTGCTATTTCAGCTATAGTCCTGATGTCGGCACAGTACTTTAGTGGTACACATGCGAATCTTGAAGCTTCTCTTATCGAAGGCCAGTTGTTTCATGACAACGATGTGTAAGGCATACCTTATCACTGCACTGACCGTTGTTCAATTACTCTTTTATTCTGGACACACCATCTGGCGTACGAACATCTTCATTTGTTTTCCAGGTGGGTCCCACCGTGGACTTTACTTATTTAACAAGGTCAATCCATACAGGCTTCAAAGGGCTCCACTGGGAGGTTGGGGTGGCTGTGGGGTGGCGGTGGGGTGGCTGCGCTGCCCCTGCTGGTTTTCTATGGTGACGGTCAGTGATTTATAACAGTGAGTGTTGCAAGAATTATTTTTAGTAACACGTATTATTTTAACATGGGGCCACTTAGGGTCCTGATCCGTCCGTCATTATAAGATAACATTAAGCTTGACACGCTGGCATATTCCATATACAACATTACAATAACATTGGTTTGTTTCCTGTTTCATTCTCCGTTGACGCCGTGACAACACAAATCCCCAAATATATTTCATGTCCCCTAAAACTGCAGAAAGCAGAGCGATGAGTTGCAGTCATCCTACTTACAACTATAGCCTTATCTCTAATTGCCCATTTCTTAGAATAATACCAAATGGATGTGCTCAAAGCCCCTTTCCACTTTGAGCCAGGATTACAGCAGTTTGAAGCCCGCACTCCTCATGTATGTGTCCCCAGCAACTGATGCAATTTTGATTTGAGGAGAGAGATTGAGGGATTTGCCAGTACATAATGACAGAGACATACAACCGTCCACTTTTTCCTCCCTGGCAAGACAGCTTGCTCTCCAATCGTCAGTCCATGCAAGTACCCAATGCCCCTCATAATCCTATGTATTTACACCCACTGGCACTGTGTCCCAGGACCCAGAAGAACAAGAACCTGTAGGGAGATTAGAGCAGGTTCAAGCTCACCATGTTGGGGAAAGAGAGAGTCCTCACTGTGTAAGAGACATTATATACGTATTTAGAAAATCAGTTCTGTGCCATAACTTCCATTGTAAGGCTTTGGCATACATGTGCATATGGCGCTGACATGGAAAAACATGTCTTTGTGGTTGTTTTGTATATATGTTGTTGCTGTTTGTGTCTCTTTATGGTGGCGTTGAATCTATTTAGTTTAGAGTTTATTTATTTTTCATCTTTTTTTGGTCATTTTATGTCTTTTCATGTCTTTAAATATCTCTCGGTGGTCACTTTGCGCGTCTTTGTGAACGTTTTGCGTCTCTGAGTCGTCTGAATTTCCAAGAATGTTAACAGTC